TTCTTTAATATTCTAAAAATAGTTGTGATAATTGTTTTGTCTAGTTTGAAGTTCAAGTTTCCTGATACAAGTAAAAGCGAATTATAACTATACTTATCAAATATAACCGCCTCTTTCGTTTAAGCCAGTTGTAGGTTTTATGATATTCTAGATTATAGAATGACTGACTTGCTAGCATAATAGCACCAGAACCAGTTTTCGCTATTATAATATACAAATATACCTAATATTTTTAATATATTGTATATTAATAAAATATATAAACAGAAAATATAATATAAAAGAAAAAAATAAGAGCTAAAAAAAAACAAAGAAAGAAATATTGGATTTGGTAAACTACGAATTTATAATTCACCAAATATAAACCTCTAAATAAGAGGAAGTAAGGATTAAATATATAAAATTTGGCAAAATCTTAGAAAAAAAAAGTATAGCGCTTCAATGTAAATATAAGATAAATAATGAATGTAGATATAAGATAAAAAAAAAAAATGGCTCAACCATCGCTTCTGGGGTACAGGGAAATACAAAAGAAATTCCCAGAAAATCAATTTACAAATAAAGACATATTGTACCAACAAATAATCCAAGATAAACCAAATAGATCACCAAGCGTAAAACAAACAAAAATTATTAAAGATTACCACCAAGCAACATGACACGAGTACCAAGAAAGAATACTTATCTAAAGACAATCAGTAATAACGAATTTATTATACTTAACTATTATACTTTGAAACTAGGAAAATAAACTACGAGATAGTATAATATAGTCTAACAATTTAGAAATTAATATTGTATCGATTCACATTATTCGAAAAAGTATTTAAATATCGAAATTTTACCTTAGCAACTTCATGCATGTAATTTCAAATTTAACTCCTTATATTCGACACCTATAATCCCTCATGTATAAAAATTACTTTGATAGTAAAAACATTTCGTATATAGTTAATTTATGACTACCATTGTATATTCATTTGAAAACTTAGGAACTTATAACGATTCATTATTATTAGTTATTCTTGCAATATTTTTAACAATTTTAACAACACCCCTCGTATTAGTAACAGCATTAA